GCGAACTACTGCTTCTTGCAAGCGGGGTCGTGCTGTTAGGCGAGCTTGTCGAGGTCCGCCTGTTTGGCATACTTGAGCTCGTTGGTGAGGCTCAGCCTGGCGAGGTTCGCCTGTTGGGTGAGCTTGCACCTGTTGGCGAGCTCGCATGTGATGATGAGGTTCGGCCTGTCGAGGCTCGCCTGTTGGGCGAGCTGTAGCTTTGCCTTTCTGGCGAAGGTCGGCTTGCGGGCGAACTTGATGAAGTTCGTTCGAACTACAGAGTTCACCAGACTTGGAAAGCTCGCCAGATTTGGGAAGCTCGCCTGAAGAGCTAAGCTCGTCTGCGTAGGTGGGCTCGACTGATTTGAGTGGTTCGCCAAAATTGGGAACCTTGCTCATGGAGCAAAGCTCGTGGGGCTCGCCTGAACTGCTAGGCTCGTCGATAACACTAAATTCGCCAATTTTGGAAACTTTGCATTTTGGCTTGGATCTCTTCAGGCCTGAATAGTAATTTAGGACGTCATCGGAGATGAGGGCTTGCGTCTTTTAGCAGGCAAGATCTTGTCGTTGCCGTTGCTTGGCTCTTTTGGAGAGGGGAGCGTTCATGTTGACGGCGAAGGCGTGGTCCGTGCCGACATGAATTGGCGTCTCCTCTTGCATGGGGGGTCTGCGAGGATCGTTTAACAACCCATCGAGCAGCGCTTGAACCTGCATCCTTTGCCTTCGGCTCAGCCATGATGGACTTGGGGGAGATAGAACCCCCTGTGCTTGCTCGGGCGGAGTTCTCCGATGTGGTTGCCTCGGTCACCTGGGACTGGGCCACACGCGCAACTCTGTAGCACTTGTGAGACGCATTGCCGCAAGAGGAGGATGAAGATAAGTACTCTTCGAACTCGATCACGAGGGACTCAATAGTTGCCCCCATCGCAATTTCGTCGAACTGCGCCACCACCATTTCGATTGAAGAAACAGTTTCTCCCACTGTGGTCGCCATCTTTTGTAGGTGTAAATTTTGATCTCCCGAAATTAGGATTCCGTTTGTATTTATAAGAATAGCTTATTACAAACTAAATGAATCAAAATTATAACAGAAGCAGAGGGAAGGCCCTTCTTGTTTAACGTGTGGACTTTTGATAGCGATAGGACGCCTCGCTCAGTTCTCGCACTGAGTCTGCTTCCCTTGGACGATTCGATCGAGGTTGCTGGCGAGCTTTAGTACACAGTAGAAGCTCATGCTAGTCGAGTTCGAGTTTTCGAGTTCGATGGCGATCGGGGCCCGAAGCTAGGAGAGGATGCTACAGTGCAAAGGTCATGTAAAGAGCTTGAGAGCCTCAAGTCCGAGAGTTCAGACGAGTCTCTTCAAATGGGGGAGCCTTTAGCAAATGAGCCAAGGTTCAACCTTTGGAAGATTAGCTAGCTTATGCAAGCAACAGCCAATCAACCTCTTTCACGTTGGCTGAAAGTGGCTTTAAATGGGCAAGGGATGGTATGGGTCATCCCTTGATTTGTGGGATTTGACCACTAGTAGGGGTGAGGGAGCCAGCCGCCCTAGCTGTGGGATTTGACCACTTAGGGGGTCCTGTCAGCCGCCCTATTCTTGTTAGGTGAGGAGCGCCATGCTTTCACTCTTGATTCGTGGGATTTAACCACAGATGTGACTGTTCCCATACTCCAAGTGGGCAGTTGACAATGATGGTGGGTTTCTAGTTGTTAGGCGAGCTTAGTCCACGCAAGCGAGGTACAGGCTGTCAGGCGAGGCTGTGCAGGCGAAGCTGTGCAGGCGAAGTTGTGCAGACGAGGCTGTGCAGGCGAATTTCTAGCATCCAGGCGAGTAGGCGAACAGGCGAGCTGGCAGTTCAGGCGAGCTCTGAGTGTTGACAGGCGAGCTTTAGCCCTGTAGACAGACTTCTTTACAGGCAAACTTTACCCTTTTCAGGCGAGCTTCAGCCTTTAGGCGAGCTTGGTGTTCAGGCGAGCTTCAAGCATGCAGGCGAGCTTCAAGTCTTCAGACGAGCCTGGATCATGCAGGCGAGCTTCAAACTGTCAGGCGAGCTCTGCAGGTGAGGCTGTGCAGGCGAGCTTACCTTATGCAGGTGAGCTTCAATTCTTCAGGCGAGCTAAACTCCTTTGCAGGCAAGCTTGGTCTTCAGGTGAGCTTCAGAACATGCCATGAAGAACAGGTCATAACTTTCAAACCGTAAGTCAGAATTTAACGAATTATATATGAAGATCGACTATCTCGACGAGACGGAACCAACCAAACCAACCCTATTGGGTTTGGTTTGCTTTTGTCCGTTTCGCCAAATTCCTTCCGGTTTGAGAGATATCAGTGTTTTTCCCTTTTCAGCTATTTCGGACGAGGTTTTAGCAGTCTTGTTCTGAACTTCTCTAATAGGGATAAAGGCAATTTTTATTGTCTACAAGCATCTGTACCGAAAATTGCCGAGAGAGCTGCTTAGGTTCACCATAATTACCTAAAGTTATTAGTATCGCTGATGGCAAAATTCTGTTCGAGTACCATAATTACGGGAACTATTCAAGCAGATTATGTAGTCATGACTTTGAGCATGATACTTGCACTCCAATCCTAAATGAAGTTGTTCCATGTCTTTCTTCGTACTTGAAAAGTCTCGACTCAACAAGAAAATTGATAAGATGCATGAAGTTTGTTGTAGAAAACTTTTAATGGACCTCTATTTTTATATGAATTCGGGGATTTGTTGATTCTTTAGTACTATGGTTTTATTTGTGCTAAGCACAGCCGCAGAAACTGTTGAAAATATCTAAAATAAATTATAGAGAAAAATGATATTTTTAGATATGTTTTAGTGCTTATTTGTTGCTATTACTTACAGAAGTTTTTTGTGAAGATTCTATTCTGCTCGGTTTGTTCCTCGAGTATTGTCTATGATTTTGCTACTCTTTTTTCCCGTTTACATATATCAGGAAGTATTACATAATGATATGTTCTATGTATTCAAATTCTATGTTAGGAAAGAATATTGTAGTGTCAAATAAATGAAAGAACAACCTTGTTTTTTTTTTCTTAAAAACATTTTAGTTATTTACCAATTGCAGATTTTGTAGTCTAATTGTAATCTAGATAGTTAGAATAATAATGCCAAAAAGTTGACGATCTAAATCTCGACCTTCCTAGAATTTATCAATGCCAAAATAAGTATATATTTATATACTTATTCTGTGGATGTTTTTATATCATATAAAATTATATTAGAGTTAGCATTAATATTTAGTTTATGGTTTTCAATGAAGTCTATCAATGATTATGAATGAAATCCATATTCTCTTTTGTTTTTATATCATATAAAATTTTATTAGAGTTAGCATTAATATTTAGTTTATGGTTTTCAATGAAGTCTATCAATGATTATGAATGAAATCCATATTCTCTTTTGTGTCATGTAGCCACTTCTAATCAATTGTCTAGGCTCATTGGCTTTAATTATTTCTCTTGCTATTATAATGCTATTTTTTCAAATATTTTCTACTTTTACAACATTATACTTTCTTAGGTGAAGCATCATTTCATGTCGATTTAAATAACATGAATATTCAAATTGGCCTCACGTTGTTTTTGTGTAGCCCATTCAAACAAACATTAGTTTTTTCATGTAGCTCACTCAAACAAATATTAAAGAAAATAAATAATCACAATATTAAATTTTAGAGACATAAGTGAGAAAAAAATCAAAATCGAAGAACAAATTTTAGTAAGAAAATAAACTAAAAATGAATAATTATGATATTTAACCACGTGCAAAACGCACATGCATAAAAACTAGTAAATAAATAAATATGAGAGTTTGGCAGGATAAGAATTGCATCGGGGATCGAAAAGCAAGGGGATTGCCGTTTTCAGGATAAGATAAGTAAGTTACACAGAATATTAATTGCAAGGTTATTTGCAATTTGACATCCTAGAGTTTTAATCTTTTTTAAATTTAATAACCAAAAAATTTTACGTAACATTTTGACACTCCAAAGTTTACACTTTTATTTTGTCTTCTACACCTCTTATTTCCCCTCACCCATATCTTGATACCTTAAAGTTTACATATATATTTTTCTTAACTTTGCTATCCTAAAGTTGCACATTTTCTCATACTGTTAGGTATCAAAGTGTCAAAAATAAAATTTCTGGTTACCAAAGTTAAGTAAGGTGGAAGCTTAGATGCCAAGGGTTGGAAAAAAAAATTAAGAGCATAAAATCTAAAAAGTTGTACATTTTGAGCGTACCAAAGTGTTGAAAATAACTTTGGAGGGTCGAAGTCATAAATATGTAAACTTTAAGGTGGTAAAATGCAAATAGCCCTTAATCAAATAAATAAAAGCCATCTATTTAGAAAAGATATTAGAAATTAGCTTTGATATACAAGAAGGAGAGAGAAGCAGAAGGAAGAAGAATTGAAACGAGAAAAAAGGAGAGGAGAGAGAGAAGAATAGAATCTGAGGGTGGATTGGGTCAAGTTGCAATTTGTAGGAAAGAAGGCTAAAAAAGAAAAAGGGGAAGACAAAACAAAACAAAACAAAACAAAAAAAAAAAAGAAGAAAAAAGAAGAAGAAAGAGCTAGAAAGTAATTCCCCTTTTCCTGTATCTTGTTTGAAGAAGAAAAATTGATTTTGATTCTTCATTCTTCCTTCTCTCCTTCAATTCATTTTCTCTAGATTTCTTTACTCATCTCAAAATTCCCCCCCACCTAATTTATCAATCCAATTCCATCTCATTTGAGGCCCTTCTGAATTACCGATTAATTCTTTCCTCCCCCTGCTCTGCAAATGCTTTGACCACCCCATTTTCCCTGAGAAGTTGGAGGAAAAAAGGGGGTTAAAAAATAGGGATCAGGGCAAGAGAGAATTCAAAAGACGTCACCGACGGATCCACAACGGGGAATAATCGTCAGCAGCAGCAGCAGCGGGAGAAGCAGCGCTGGGGAATTGGGCTGCGTTGCTGGCCTGGAGTGCTTACTGGGCTTTATCAGGGCCCTGAAAATGGGGTCCTGCTTAGCACTAGCAGCTCATGCAGAAGATCCCTGGGAGGAGGTTCCTTAATGGGGCAAGCTCTGTTGCTTCTCTGTTTACTCAGCAGGGCAGGAAGGGAACAAACCAGGATGCTATGATTGTTTGGGAGGTTCGACCTTCGGAAATCTCATCAATTTTTCGCTATATATGCTTATCAGTGCTGCTGTTGTTCGTTTGAGATTAATAATCTGTTCGTTTCCAAAATGTACACCCCCTCGCCCTTTTTTTTTGGGTCCATGATATGTTGGGTTGTTACATACAATTGCGTGGTGTCATGATAATCAGTGGTTTGATATCTTTTTTATGATCTAGATAGATAATTCGGTTCATTTATTTGTTTGTTATTGTTCTGCTTCTTTCTTGATTAGTCTTTGATTATTGATGACCATGGGTAGATTTTTTTTTTAAACACAGATATTTGGATGTACAGACTAATGCATAAAATTAGGTTGTGTCATCTTTTAATTTTTATTTCTTAGTAAAGTGCAATAAAATTTTTAGCTTGAGAATATAATCATCATTCTGGCAAAAGGTGATCTTATGGTTTCCTCACGCTGGAATGAATTGGATTTATTGAGAACCAAGTTTCCTTGTAGTTTATTTCACCTACGTATTATTTCAAACGCTTCACAAGTGAGTCCCGCTCTATTAACTTTTCCGAATATTGGTTTTCTCTCTTCAGAATTTTTGTTCCAGAACGGATACGATTTTTTGTGGGGTTTTTGATGGGCATGGACCATTTGGCCATATGGTTGCAAGAAGGGTGAGAGATTCTCTTCCTTTGAAGCTTAGCGCACACTTGGAATCAAATTCTCGGAACCACTACTTTGTGAGTGAGAACAGCATCAGCACAATAGGAAACTTAACTTCAGAAGAAACATTGTCTATTTGCTTAGATGAGGAATCAAGGAATTCTGCTGATCTAGATGAGGATAGGGATCCAGACTTATTCTCAATACTGAAGGAGTCATTTCTGAAGGCTTTTAAAGTGATGGACAAAGAACTAAAACTCCACCCAAATATTGATTGCTTTTGCAGTGGTACAACTGCTGTCACCTTGATCAAGCAGGTATAACCCCTGGCAATCATAGATATTTCTTAGATCTTTTTAACTCTATAAACTTCTAGTTTATCTATCAGGAAAGAACAAGAAAGGTCCAATGCTCAATGCAAAGCTTTTCTGAAATTGATATGCATGTGCTTGCTTCATCTGCAGGGTCAAGATCTTGTAATTGGAAATGTTGGAGATTCAAGAGCAGTACTTGGGACTAGAGATCAAAATGACTGTCTGATTGCCGTTCAGTTGACTGTGGACCTCAAACCGAATCTTCCCAGTATGAACTTCCTTCTTATAGTTTTTTGAGCTTATAATTCTTCTATTTTGCAATTATTATTGTTTGGCATACTGGCACAGATGATGTTTGATTCTTTACTGCCTAATTCAGTGCAAGAGTCCACCACTTGTAACCTGTGGCTATTGCAATTGATGTCTGATTTTTGTTGAAACTAATATGCTTAAATTGACTAGTTTTCTGTACAGGCCTTCATGTACCAAACCTCTGCCTGTGTTGGTGGCAATTTTTGGCATGTTTTCCTTTGCTAACAATTTGCTGTAACTGGCAAAACGGGGACTCTTCTTTAGTACTATGATTTTCTCATATTATTATTTTCTTCTCATTTTCTGTGAGTATTACATGTTACTGCAGCTATGATTGTTACAATTATCTTGGATTTTTATGCTCTCAAAATCTATTTTTTCCCCCAACATTTCTCTTCTTTAGATTTTGCTCTCTTTAACATGTCTTAGTGAACACATATTTTGTGTTTTAAGTAGCAGGGAAAAAAAAGAAAAAAGATAATAATAATAATAATAATAATCAAAAAGTAAAATTATCATTTTCTTGGCCCCTTGCATCAATACTGACATAATTATAAGTTTTAGTCTCTTAGCTCTTCAATATAATATGTGTTAATTTCTAACACAATTATAGGCAGGTTTACACACTAAGGCCCCGTTTGGCAAAGGGATAAGGAAGAGGGATTAAGGAGAAGGGTTAACTTAGTTAATCCATCGTGAAGGGATAAAAATATTCTTATTCCGTTTGGATTCGATAGTTAAGACAAGGGGTTAAGTCTTTTGTGTTTGGCAAATGAAGAAGGGATAAGGAGAATAATCTCATTATTTTTTTAAAAAATACCACTTTCGCCCTTACTAAAAAATATAACTAATTGCAGGAGAATAATCTCATTATTTTTTTAAAAAATACCACTTTCGCCCTTACTAAAAAATATAACTAATTGCCTCCATTAATATCATTTTCTCGTTATTTACCTTCTGAGCAATTTCAAAGATTTGAAGCGCTAATATGTAATTCAGCTAAGTCATTGATACCTTCATTAGAAGGCTAGTTAAAGCGATGAACGACACCCAAGATCACAATAATAAAGGAAATCTCCATAATAAATGGGTGTGAGCAAACCATAAAGCTAGAAGATTGGTCCCTCAAAGCATCAAAAAATTTAGTTCAAAAACTTGCAACTTGAGATGCTCCCGATACTTAAAGAACAAGAGCGGTACCCAACAACAAACATACACACTACAAAACAAACCCTGCTTCAGCTTACTCAATTTGCTCAGAGAACAATAAACAACAAGAGGATAAAACTATTAAACTTCATTACCAAAACAAAAGGTACAATAGCGAGAGCTTCAAATGAAAATCCCATTAGCAAAAACAAATGGAAAGCAAGGCCACAACTAAATACAATAGCGAGAGCTTCAAATGAAAATCCCATTAGCAAAAACAAATGGAAAGCAAGGCCACAACTAAAGCTTCCACTAGATTTTCTGAATAAGACACAATGCAAAATGATAAACAAATTCTCTCTTTCTTCTCTTATTCCCTGGAAACTCACCTTTGTTAAAACCCCTCAAATCATTAGTAGTATCAACATTTTTTTGCTTCTTCATCCCCTTTCAACCACCATGACCAAACTTAGTCTCCCTCTTCTCCCTCTTCTTATTACTCCCGTGTCTACGAACTCCTCCAGATCGATCTCCAGGAGCAACTCCTAGCCTCCCCTTCTTCGATCCAAAATTTTTCTCACCATCCAAATCAAAATCCATTTCCTCGCCTTTTCCTTTAATAAATTATCTCTCTGTTGCCTCTACTTCATCCATTTCTTAACAGACTCAATATCCTCTTTCTTGCGCTTAGCCCTCTCTTTATTATTCTGAGTTTGGACCTCTTTAGCAATTATTTTGGACTCTCTCGCCTTCTTCCTCTCTTCTGCTTCCTCAATCTTCTTCTCCTCTAAACGTTTTCCTTTGATCTTTAACATGTGAGAATCTGACTTGACCATCTTAGCGTAGTAATCTGGTGGCCTAAGAAACGGCAGTCCCAATGCTTGCAACTTCCCAAACGCTTGTCGAGTACCATCTAGAGCTTGAGTGTAAAATGACATTTCACGTGCCAAGTCATCATTATTCACATCGATATCTGCAGGCAAATCATAGTCAGTGGTGAGTCTATGGATCCAATCTGCATTCTCAGGCCAGACTATGTCTTCAAGCTTTTTGAGAAGGCCTTCTTTGTTGTGGATGGCAGCTTTTGAAGGTTCAGTGAGAGGAACCTCTTCATCTTCGCTTTCGGATTCAGAATCCATCATCTCTTCATCAATGTCATCCATGGTATCTTCCATTGTTGCATACTAAGAAAATAAAAGGTGTGGTTTTTCCAGTGCACCCATTTTGAAACTGAAGAAGGCATGCAGAAATAAGAAAAGATCAGGCTCATCAGCATGTGATTTTGAGAATACTAGTGTAACAGAACTACGGAAATTTAAGGACCAAGAAAAGGGTATTACAAGAGGCAGAGTTCAAAAGACAGCGGAAAGGGGCCTTTACGCTCCCTTCGCAATTCACATAATCGAAAGAGGAAGGGTGCAGATAAATGTCGACAATTTAATAAAACACAAGCTGCAAGAGCACAAAAATATATGACTAACAGATGCAATTGAAAACCAAGTTACGTGATGCAATATATTTTCATAAATCCTTTCACATATTAGCCACAACAATTCATGTTAACACTAAACAAGATGTAAACTGAGAAGAAAATGAATCGCATTAAGCTTAAAAGTTATTGCATGTCAATTCAAACGTTCACAAGATGAATATATCATAAAACCAAAAAAATCCAGTCTTGTATCATACTATTGCCTCATACTACTAGTAAAACTTGATAGAAAATTATGTCAAATACTAAACAGTTGCTGTACTGACATTTACTGCTTCACTCCTTTCAGGCTTACTACATCACAAAACACACCAACTTAAAGGCACCTCAGAGCTTCATAGACTGAAATCAACTTGAGTTCAGAGTTGCAAGTTGGGTACAGAGTTGCATTGTCATCATGGTTATCATCTAGACTGTTCCCATCAGAATGGTAGGTTATCATGCAGAACCACTATAAAAAAAAACCTCATTCAAAATTTAAGTAAAACTAGGAACTACCATCAACCCTAAGAATATCCAGGCTATGTTCCCTCATGCACAAAGAAACCACTACAAAGATTAAATACTTGCTTCCACGACGAAATATTCTTGTCTATATGCTCCCTTGAGATTAATCCACCTAAATTTCCAAGGAAAACATCAAAACTGCCAAAAATTGGCAACTTATTGAATATGAATATATATTATAAATAAAATTTGTATAGAGCAATCAAATTTTCTTATAATGATAAATTCACTACTTTGAGAGAGGATGAGAAGGGATATGGAGATGAAGTCAGGCAGTGTTGTAAAGTTTAATAAAATTGATTTTACGTAGGTTTCTAGAGATTTAATTCCAGATTTATGAGACCGGATGGCACAAATCTGACTCGACCATAACTCTATGTAGTCCCTCATAACCAAATGCTAAGAACTTTGGTTCTCCGAACTCAATAATACCAAAAATCTCAATATTTCACATTTTAGATGACCTAAAATGTGCAAAGAACAATAACATGTATAAATAACATATAAAGTAGCCTCTTTAGCTAGCATAATCATCACTGTATGAGATTTGACCTCAAAGATAAACCTCATGGAGAAGGAAGTTACATTTGAGTCCTTATTCTATAACTCACATATCCTGCCAAATTTAAAGCACTTCAGCCAGAAAAACATCCCCTAAAATGGGAATTGTCAATCGGGGGAGGATATTATTTCGTTAGACTGCCACACATATATATTAGTCTTTTTTCCCCTCAAAGGGGAACAATAAATAACAAAATTACAAAAATGATAAATATAAATTTCCTCAATCTTACTCCATTCTAGTTAAATAAAAATAAGCAGAAACTGCACATTGGTGAAGGATAATATTTCATTAGAACTACAACAGCAGCATTTAATGTAATTTCAAAAATAATAATACATAATGGTCTTAAATCTTACTCTAATATAGTTAAACAAAAATAAGCCAAGGGCACATTTGCCAAGGGCACATTTGTCACTCTAATTCTACTCGCTAAAGCCCTGAACAACTAATGTCCATCTAAACTCATTTCTTCCACCAAAGGATGTTGGGGCAAGCTCCTTAGCTACTCTGGATCCAAGTAGTTCTGTGTTAGTTCGTTCAAGTAAAGTAGTCATTGGGTTTTCTTAGTTTTCATAACCAAATGGATGTGAAATCTTGATTTGTAATTAAGCTAGAAAACACGAATTTACGGAAGGGGTAAAAAAGATGAAATACATGAAGTGAGAATACATGGAAGACTTGAAAATTATCTCAAGGTTTTGTAAGTACATTATGCGAGAATACACTGAAAGATCTTCTATCAAAATCCTCTCAAATTAACAATTATACATAAAAATACAGATATTGTTCCGAATTATGTTAGAGTTCAAGGACTTTAAGTAGCTTGAGCTTCCCCTTCCCTTGAAGGTTAAAAAAAGGATCTTTATGTTCGATTAGTAGTCAATTAAGCAAGAACCACAAATGCTAGAGCAATCTATTCAAATTTATAGGGCTTAGGATTCTCACAATTTACTGAATCCTCCCTCAGGATACAAGGAGCAAAATCTAGGGTTTAAATTAGCTTCCTCAGCAGTAATCAAGATCTAAGGTTTAGATTAGGATTTTGATTTCTTACGAGTAGCTGGATCTGCTCTCTGATCTCTAGACGAGTTCTGATTCGAAGTTGAGGATCTCGGGCGCTGCCTTCTCGTTCCTCCACGCTCGCTTCGGGAACTCGATGTCGGTCATCGCCTCGATCGACGCTCGATCTCCTTCTTCCTCTCTTGGCTCCATGGACCCTGAAAGCAATTTGGGGGGGGGGGGATTTACCCTAATTCAGCTGCCTAGTCCAGCCAAATTTTCCTATAAAAATTTCGCTCCAAATTTCGCTGCCTAATTCCCCGATGTCGAACTCCGCTGCCTACCCGCACAAGATCCATATGAGATTTTATCCTAAATTCCGCTGCCTACCCTCGCGTGAGAAGGCGGAACAAGCGTTGTTCCGCCTTCTGACGAGGAATTGTTAACCCGTCAATAGACGGGATAAATGGGCTGTTAAGGTCACGTGAGGGTTTGCTATCCCTTTGTCATTATTTTCTGTTTGGCAGGCTAATGAAGGGTTAAATCTCCTTAATCCTTTATTTATCCTCTTACCAAACGCAGCCTAAAGGGATTCTAATGTTTTAGATGTGATAACTGATCTGTGCTTAGCAAAAAAACATAAAAATTCCATGTTATTTACTCTACAACATTGTATCCGACTGCTATGCAAAATTATTTATTGTTGGAGGCATTCTGATTAACAGAAATCTGTAATGTCTATAGCATGTGTATCTTATACATTTGAAATGCAAATAGGTACCCGTTCTACTTATATCTGATCATGTATGTACAGTACAAATCTAAAGCATCGAGCAATACTTAAACATTGAATGTACTTAATCATCAAGAATTATGTTCCTCAAATGGCTGAAACTCTCAAACCTCTGACTCTCAAATTACCTTGGTAGATCTCGATTGACTTCACGCGAATTTTGCTCCGTTCTACTGTTGATTGCATCATAACTCCTGTTTCTTGCTATACTATTGATGGCTATGATTTGATGTTGGAAGTTGGTAGATCTTACTTGCAATCAGTTTACTAGATTTTCTATAAAATTGGAGATACTTAACATTTTTTAATACTACATAGCGTGTATCTTAAGTTTCTTCTCCGTAGAACTATGTTGGATTGATACTCCCAAATACTTTGCATGTATTTGTAGGACATGTATCAAACGGGGACATATCTGCAAACACACACTGTTGCATTTGTACATGTGGGTCCATATCTAGAAGCTAGTCGTAACAAACTCACGTACTTTGAGCCAAAAATTTGTCCCGAATCCTATGGGCCATCACGTAAAAATATAGGATATAGGACTAACCTGGCATTACAATAGATTTTCTATGAATCTCATCTTGGATGAGCACATCACTTTTTTCTTGTCTCGCACCATTCCTTCACTTGAGTCCTAATTGGCATTGACCTATTAGCAATATCAGATTGATGTTCCAGGACTACGAGTGAATAATTGATTTATCGTATCCATTGATTTGCGCAGATGGTTGGTTTGCATACATCACTGTTACTTGTAGCGGGACGTTTTTGTTTCCATGGCATGCTTTACACAGTGCCCTCACAGCATTGTCAGTTGGTCTTTTCCCTTTCTGTGATTAGTACAGACCAGTTAAGGGTATGAGGAGGTGAGGAGTGAGAGTTCATACCCACGACCCCACCCCCAACCCCCCACCCTCACCCCCAACACCACAAATACAACAAACAAACAAACAAACAAACAAAAAAGGGAGAAAAAGAAGAAGAAAATAAAGAAAGAAATAAAAAATTCTAGTTTGGGTACGATCAAGATGTTCTCACTTGACTCAAATAGATATCAGTTTTACCTAGGTTGCACTGGTATGAGTACGGACACGGAACTTTGTAAAATGTAGGGTACGAGGACACGACTGAATATATATATATATATATATATATATATATATATATATATATATATATAATTATAATATATACTATATATATATATATATATATATAATTTTTATTATGTAAATGTAGATTATAAAAAGGGGGAAGAAGATTCATAAAACAAAAAGGAAAAAGAACTCAAAAACCCCAAGAAGAATTCATACAAACCCAAAAATAGAATTTCGAAACCCAAAAAAGCCATAAATTAGTCAAAATTCACAAAAGCTACGTACCTTTGTTCCTGGAGATCTTGCTATCCTCGAAAGACCGGCGAACATCTGTGGAGGGCGTAGGGTTTCCTTGCTTTGGTTGAGGTCTCTTGATGTGGAAAACGAGAGAATGAAATGGGATTTGAGGTATCGCTTTCCAATAAAGACAGAATTAATAGCGGTTTGGGTTATTGGGTCCCAAAAACAGACCCGATTAGCCAAAGCAGTTTTTTTCGAGTCGGAAAAACTCCCACGTGTGGTGATTGGAATTCTTCCGTGTCCCTGCAGTTTGGGTGCGGATCCGCACCCAATACGTACCCCGTGCGGGTACGAAATCAAATTTCCCGTGTTGGGGTATCACAGGTTTTTACTTACTCCCAACTAAGTAATATTTGTTGATTAGTGTCAATTGAGCAAAATGATAATTCCGAAATGTCATCTCCATGCAATCACTTTGCATGTAAGTAGATCGAGAAATGGACTTATCTGCTTTTCTGCACTGCACACCTAGTTTCTTGCTCACTAACTCAGTCTAGTACGCTAGTGTATTTAGAGTTTGTCCTTCTGAATTGGGTTCCACCAGGAACAGGATAACTACATGCTTGCCATCATGTATGGATGTGCAAGTTTCTGACATGTAAAGGGGTGGTTGGCAATATGAAAGTGAATTGAAAGTGTGATAGCCACTTTTTAAAAAAAAAATGTTAAAGTGCATCCATGTCAACATGTAAGTGAACTATAGAGTTTGTTTTAAAAAAAAATTTATACTTGAAACTAGAAAGTGAAGGTAATGTGGCATTACTATTTTAATTAATTATTTAAAATCATATTAAAGTTTTACTACTTTAGTTAAGTATGTTACCTACTTATTCCACTTTCTGGATGACTTGGGCACTTTTTTTGGAGAAAGATGAATATGCATTAAATTGAATCCGCCGTGGACCTATTTTTTATTTTACTTTATTTTATTATTATTATTATTATTATTATTATTTTTTGCATTTCACTTTCACCAGCATTATGAAGAAAGCAAAACACCTGACGTACTGAAAGTATGACACTTCCTGATGAACATCATTTCCGTTTTTCAGTTTACACCCTCGAGTGTTTATATAAAGAGACGACCTTGTCTCCTTAAGCATGGACCTATATGATGAGACAGTCATTGCAAAAACTTGCATGATATCCGGTACATAAGTCTTTAATGGCAGTCTTTTATCTGGGTGGTAGGTTCTTCTTAAGCTGATGTTTTTCTGTTTGCATAGTTGTGGTGATTTTGCAAATTACAATTCAAGGGTGGAAAATATTGTTTTTTTCACACATGTAATGCTAGGTATTACATAGGCATTTGATTTATCTTTTTATATCTGTTTCTTCTCTGCCTTTGATCTTCTGTAAAATTCTATCTATGAAGCAGAATAGTTAATTTTATTAATCTTAACTTTATCAATTAGTTGAGAGGGAATAGGTTAATGGCACACTGGTATGTTGACTGGTAAGGTGAAGGGTGTAGCATCAATATGTTTCTTCTTTTCAGTGCACATTGAGGTAGATAATACTGTGAGATGATCATCATTTTGCCTTTTTCATCAGTTTGATGCATTTTGTTGAGCGATTGTAGCTGTATTATAAAAGTGTTCTTGCCGGTTCATGTGGAAATTCTTCAACACTTTAATAGCTATCAAAATACATCTATGTTATCTGATATACCCTCATTATTCGTGAACAGAGGAAGAAGAAAGAATCAAGCAGTGTAGAGGTCGAGTTTTTGCTCTTCGAGATGAACCTGATGTGGCTCGGGTTTGGCTACCGCACAATGATTCCCCTGGCCTGGCTATGGCTCGGGCACTTGGAGATTTTTGTCTCAAGGACTATGGACTGATTTCGGTGCCAGAAGTCTCTTATAGACGGCTCACTGAAAAAGATGAGTTCATTGTGTTAGCTACCGATGGGGTAAGAGAGGGTGATATAAGTCTCTGCAGTTGATTTATACTTTTTGTTATTGCCAGAGTATAAGATAATAGCCCTCAATCCTGTTAACTTCGAAGTTTCAATGTTGTGTAGGGACTTCAAGTGATACAAGGTCAAGTTAGGTTCACATCCAATCATTCACACATTTAAAGCATAGTTTTTAAAAGGGCCTTTTGTGTATATTTACCCACCCCTCCTACCCTCCCTTCAAATTTACTCCTGAAATCTATCATATTTTGAAATATATACTCAGTATTAATATTCTAAAAATACCCCCAAATCTTCGACTTTGGAAAAATTACCTCTATATACTTTGTTAGGAATAACAGGGAATATTCCCATTATTTGATGGCTTTTTTTAGAATGACTATTTTACCTTTTGCTCGCCAAGTGTTCCCGATTATGTTCTTAATTAAAACACTTTTCTTCTTTGCAGACCTTAAAACCTAACCCCCAGTTCCACTTTCCAGCTTTCCTCTTCTCCCTTATTTAGAACATTGGCAAAGAATGGTTACCTTCAGTTCTGGAAAATTCAAAATCAGATGTTGCTAATTTCCTCTCAAATCAACCACATTTTGTTGGTGAGAATTGAAGTTGCAATGGATGCCTTAAGTTGAATAGGAAGAATTTTTGTGTAGCCTCTGTTTGATGGAGGAGTTGGAGAGCACACTGGGTTTGATGAGATGGTATGCCAAATTAATATAGGTTGGAGGTAATGTGGTATGTGGTACATTAATTGCACAATACTAACAGGGATGATTGAGTGAGGGAGGGGGGTATTTTTACAAAAAGCCACCCATCACGTTTAACATTGTCCGCAATTTGGAGTATATTTAGTTAAGTTGGAGATTTGGATGGTATTTATGGAAATACCAAGTTTTGGGTAAATTTTTAGGGCAAATATGCAAAATACCCTTTCCAAAATAACATTGGAGGGACGTGTAGTGGATATTTTAATAATATTTATTCTTAACCTTGAGTAATCAAAGTTTTGAATAATGAGACAAAAATTTCATGTGGTATCTCAGGTATGGGATGTACTTTCAAACAAAGAAGTGGTAGACATAGTAGCGTCAGCTTCCAGTCGTTCATCTGCTGCTCGTTCCCTTGTGGAGTCAGCTGTTCATTGCTGGAGGCACAAATATCCGACCTCCAAAATCGACGACTGTGCAGTAGTATGCCTCTTTCTTACCAACAACTCTGAATTTAATGCTGCTTCTGCATCAGCTAATGACATCTCTTCTAGTATCGCAAATAATGAAAATCATGTAGAAGATGCTAGCATCAACAATAGCAAGAAGATACCTGAAAACCTTGTAGAAGACAGTAAGAGAACAGGTAAAGGGAAAGGGGAGAAGGAATTCTTAAAGGATCAGTTAATGGAGGGAGATGAGTGGTCTGCTTTAGAGGGAGTTTCTCGGGTGAACACCATGTTGACTCTGCCAAGGTTTAATACTGCAGCAGGGAAGTCCAAGTCTAAGAAATCAGTCTGATTGTCGACATATATATATATATGAGAAAAATGAGTATGTTCGGTACCAAGCACAAATTTTGTGCTAGGTAGTGAGGTGTCCTATTCCCATTCACTAATTCTAATTTCCAACCGCTCGCCAACCCATGTGAATGTGAACCCGATTTCAATGAGTGGAGGAGAATATATTACCTCACTACAAAGCATAAAAACTTGTGCTTGGTACCAAGCATATTCATCTCTCTCTCTCTCGCTCTCTCTCTCTCTCTCTCTCTATATATATATATATATATATATGATTGGGAACATAGCAGGGCTTTTTATTAGCATGTCCGAGTGTTCTCTCTCCGTTTGTTCATTTATATTTATTGGCTCTTCTTTGTCCCCAGCGTGAGTAGGATTGGAGTTTTTGTAAAAATCCAACTCGGGTTAGCTTGATTTGCTGTTGATTATTGTTGTCATTGTTAGTTGCTGTTATGTTGATAATTGTCATTATGGCAAATAAATTATTTTCAACTTCTGATTTTGTATCCTTTTGTTACCTGAAAGACTCTTGCAATCTATGTTCAAACATGTATATCTATTTATTTATTCATTTAATTAATAATTAATTTGTACATAGTGCTGAACATTTTTGTGAGATTGCTTCTTCGTGTATTTTTTTGTCTGCAATGTTGCAGCAATCCACCTTGTTGTCATTCTTCTTGATAGTCCTCTTTTCACTATCCTAACCGCTACACCCCAATCACAAGCCCAAATGCAAGCCTACTGATCACCAGCAATGGAGCTCTTAGCATTTTAGATTCAAACTTGACGACGATATTGTGGTCATGGACGCCTTTGTTGCTTGCGACACCTAGCCCTGTTCCATGACTACTAGACGCGCAATTTCGTTGTTACAGATTCTGACGATATTTCTTTATATATTTTTTTCATGGAAAAGCTTCGATCATCTGACGGATACAATGCTACCGGGCATGAGAGTTGGGTGAGACCTATAGACCAGGCTTAATCGCAACCTGACTGCCTGAAAGTCCGATATCGATCTGTTCCCTGACGTTTATCATGGACATCCACGGTGACACCTGTTCCCTGACGTTTATCATGGACATCCACGGTGACACGCAGGTCATGGCTCTTTCGGGTCCGTCAAGAAATGGTGGTCCGGTCCCTGGTCCTGAAATGCACACTTACGGTGGCTTTACCTTCAGCTTTGTCAATACCAAGAATGAAGTTTAGTAACGAAGAATGAAGTCTAGTAGGGTTGCAGCTTTAGCCAACAAGTCCACTCTTGTTACAAGGGTAACAATCGACAATTTGGGCAGTGTGGTTGGGATTCTGTCTGCCTTGCCCAAGCCTGGAGATTGTTCGGGTCCATACTTAATGATGCTTGTGAGAATGCAACATGTGGTTCCTACAGCTCATGCAATCCTAATGGGAGCCCAATTTGCGAATATCTGCAGGGGTTCAAGCCAAGATCGAGCTCAGGTTGGAATTTGCGGCGAATTTGAAAAGGGGGCTGCGTGAGGAAGGGGGGGGAGGGGGGGGGGTGGGCTGGGTTGCTCAAGGTGACTGATGGCGTTTCTGATGTGTGATTCACAGCAATGTTACCCAGCACGTCGAAGGTGACTGCGAGCTGGAGAATTAGCCTCGATCAGTGTCGTGCACAGTGCCTGATGAATTGTTTGTGCACAGGTTATTCGAATGCTGATGAGCATGGTGGTGGAAGCGGGTGCATTATTTGGACCAATGAGATTGCGGATCTTAGTTTGTTTAGGTTTTATGGATATGGAGGCAAGATTTTTATGTTCGTGTGGCCACCCAAGACATAGGTACAGTTTATTTAGGTATGATCATGTCACCGGCCAAGAGGCTTCTTGTCAACATATTAAAAAAAATACGGAAGGGGGAAAAAAAAAGGTATGGACCTTTATAATAGATAACAACAAATTATTCAAAGTGTATGCTGTTGTTTCTCTTCCTGATGATTAGAATAACAGAAGGCGCATTTAAAAGAGGTTTGCTTAGGGAATATTAAGGTATGGTTTTTCGTACTGGAACATTGCGTTCTACAAATTTAGGAATAATAGTATATTTTAACTCAACTCCAGATAATTTTTGGGAACAATATATCAAGATTGCTTATTATCTTGTCATTTTATCCCTTTCTTATCTTTTTGAATTGTAAAACTCTATTGCTTTGCTACCAACAGAAGTTGAGTCCAACAAACATGAATCATCTATGATAATTGTAAGATTGCGTATCAGATATTGCATATTCATCAAGAAGAAGAAGCAAAAGAGAATAACACCAGGTAGGGCTGTCCAAAAAGCCCCGGAACTCGGCCCGGCCTAGGGTTGGCCCGGAAACCCGGGCCAGACCCGGGTCAGGGCCCGGGCCCGGGCCCGACCCCACAGAAAACCGGGCCGGGCAGCCCGGACCCGGAGCCCGGCCCGGCCCGGTGCCAACGATCACCAGAGGTGACCGTTTGGCGAAAAGGCTGGGCCCGGTCAAAACGGCCATTTTGACCGTTTTGCCCCTAAAAACGGTCAAAAAACGGTTATCTTGCGAGGGTTTTTTGGTTATTTGACTAGGAGGCTGCCTCTATAAATAGAGGGGAGTTTTTACTTCTTCTCCTCATACCTAAACTCATCTACTTCTCTCTAATACTCTCTTATACAATCTTATACTCTCTAATAATCTCTTATACTTTCTAATCCTTCTATCAAATGGCTTCCGAATCTGATTATGAAGAGCAAAATCTATCTCCTACCGATCTTAAAATGAGTCCTCCTACAACAGCTACTCCTACCGATCCTACCGGTGTTAATCCCGAATCCGGTGGCGACGAATCTGCACCAAGAGCTCCTAAAAGGCCGAGATCCGATGTGTGGATTTTTTTTTGAAAAGATAGACATTACCAAGGATGAACACGGTAGGATCCTCACCTAGAAGGCTAAATGTGCGTTGTGCGGCCAGACTTTCCAAGCTCATCATAAGAACGGCACCAACCACCTCAAACGCCATATAGAAAAGCACAATAAAGGCCAGAATCCTCAATGTGATATCCGACAATCTATGATTTCCCAATCCTCCTCTTATGATAGTCTCGGTAGTTGGAATTATGACGCTGTCCGAGCCAGGAAATACGTAATCAGGTTTATCATTCTTAAAAACCTTCCTTTTAAATTAGTAGAAGATGATGAATTTGAAGATATGTTTAGAGATGATTTTTTTTCCCGTATTTACAAAATTTTCTCGTCAAACCTGTCAACGTGATATTTTAAAATATTATCAAGAGGAACAAGGAAAAATAATTTCTTATTTTAAAAATTTAAACTGTAAATTTTCTTTAACTTTTGATATTTGAACATCTAGAGCACAAACTGGTTATTTATGTATCACAGTACACTAGATTGATGAAAATTGGCAAATATTTAAAAGAATTGTTTCCTTTATTGTAATTAAAGAGTCACATACTGGTATTAATATTATAAATTTAATAATTGAAGAACTTATGAAACTAGAAATTGATCAAAAAATATTTTCTTTTTCACTAGATAATGCAAGTAATAACAATGTAGCTTTTGATTTTATCAAAATAACTCTGTCATTGCCATGTCATGGTGATCTTTTTCATATTAAATGTACCTGTCATATTTAAATTTAATTGTTCAAAGTGTATTTACTGAAATTAAACCCATGATAGAAAAGGTTAGAACATTTGCTAATATGCATAATGCTTCTGAACAAAGAATTAAAAGATGGAAATAATTTTGCAAAAAAAAATTATAAGCCCAGACTAATTCCAAAAGATGTTGACCATAGGTGAAATTTCACATATGCAATGTTAAGTATGACAATAGAAAATAAAAAAATTATAAATAATTTTATAAACTATTATGCTTCTAGTTCTAGTTCTGGTAGCACTTATGGAATAACTGAAAATGAATGTGTTATGGGGTGTTTCCTATTCCCCCACAAATATGCTATCCCGAGAGTAGGTTCGGTTGAGTTGATTTCATGCCAAGACGACTCGAATGACGGACTCAGTCGAGCAAAAGATGATTACCCATCGATCAACCGACACTTTTCCCAAGGGCAACTCGGAATATTATTTCTTAGTATTATTTAACCTTCCATAACATAGAAATGACTCCGCGTCACTCGCTGACAGGCCGCAACGGCTACTGATTCCCCATGTCGCCGACAAGATACTATTCCTCTATCCTCGGATCAAGTACACCAGCTGATTTGATAGTCGGAGGTACCATGGGAGAAACATGCCCCGTACTCCCGTGATTCTTGTGTGTGCAGGTGATCCGCCCACCCCGAGCTCTGAGAACCAGGCATAAAGTCGAAGAAGGAAAGCAACCCTCCATCCCTCTCAACGATCCAACAACTCTGCAACTTCCATCGACTATTTGTTTACGAGCATCAACAGAATTGACAATTATATGTAATTTAAATGAGATGTTACAAGTTTTTTTATGATGCTACAATGTTATTATCTGGTTGTTATTATCCAACTATTACTTTAGCTACTTTACAAATTTTAAATATTTAAAAATTTTTAACAAATATCGTATGAATGATACTTTTGGAGCTATAATTTTTCAAATGGAGAACAAATTTAATAAGTATTTTAGGCCTATTCCTCATATTTTTGGTTTGGGGGTTCTTATTGATCTATGTTTGAAGGATATTAGCATTCGAAGTTTGTTACAATCATTATATGATGGACAGATTATAGACTTAGATGATGGATCCATCCTTACTGCTATTTCTCATCATTTAGCTATTAGAAATTATTTTCAAACCTTATATGATGAGTATACAACTAAACATGGTGTAGCTGCACAACAGTCTATAGCTTCGACGCCTTCGAGCTCAGACCTAGGTAAAAGTGTTAGTTTTGATAGGTACGCAATGGTAGCTGAGCTAACAGGTGGATCTGAACTTGGATCATCATTAGAAGTTTCTGAAATAGATGAATATTTATCTGTTTTTTTAGTTAAATGTCAAGGAAATGCTTTAGATATTTTGTAATGGTGGAGAGTATATGGATCAGTTTCATATCCTATACTTTTCACCATGGTTCGTGACTTACTAACAGTGCAGGCGGTAACTTCGGAATCCGCCTTCAGTATAGCAGGACGTTTGATCGACGACCACAGGACATGCTTAGATCCGTATACTGTACAAGCGGTGACGTGCTTACAAGATTGGTGGATGTACGAGAAGAGAACGCAGGCATCGATCGGATGGCTGGAATCAGAGATAAATTTAAAGAGTTGGGACTAGCAGATAGATATAAAGATTAAACAATATTCATCAAATTGTAATTTTTATTTCTTAACTTTAAATTTATAATGAATTATTTTAAAAACAGTTGCAAATGATAGTGATATAGGTGTGTAGGTGCCAACTTAGTTGGGATGTACTCATCTATTGTGATGCGACGAATTCCGAAATAAATTTATACTTGTAAAGGATTTATAGTTGGGATGTACTCATCTATTGTGATGCGACGAATTCCGAAATAAATTTATACTTGTAAAGGATTTACCGATTATTAATAAAGAAGTTATTTTATCATCTTTCATTTTTATAATTTTTTGTATTTGTAATTTATGTCATTTCAAGTTATTAATAATATTATTGTTTTTTATTAGCATTTTCTGTAATTTTTATGTATATTTTAAAATTTAAAGAGATTTTAAAATAAAAATAAAAGTTTAAAAATCCGGGCCGACCCAGAGCTTAGCCCGCTCAGGCTCGGGTCCAGGCCCGGGCTTCGGTTTTGCCCGGCCCGGGCCCGGTTTTTCGAGCCGGGCCGACCCGGATGGACACGCCTAACACCAGGTGTCTTGATAATTATCATATCTACAGAAATCAGAAACTTCTACCTCAGCAAAGATGCAGCTTCTTCTGTGTGATATTTTCAGAAAATACTAGAGGAACGGAGGATGGAGAGCATCCGATGACCGACTTTGCTAGTCTGATGGTCGCAACCAACAACTTTTCGCTGAAAACCTGCTTGGAAAGAGTTGATTTGGTCCTGTTTACAAGGTAACTTTACAAAACAGTGAATTTGTACAAGTTGATTATTTCTGATATTCCTCTTAATTAAGTTAGTTTTTTTAATGATTTGATTACTAGGGTAAACTTGGTGTAGGGCTAGAAATTGCCGTAAAGAAGCTTTCTTAAAACTCTTTACAGGTATTTGAAGAGTTTGAGAATGAGGTTGTGCTCATTGCCAAACTCCAGCATAGGAATCTCGTTCACCTTCTTTCCTACTGCATTCACGGTCAAGAAACATTGCTCATGTATGAATGAATACATGCCCAACAAAGGTCTGGATGCTTTTTTATTCAATATGTTGTTTACCCTATCTTTTTTATTTCATTATATCCATGTAATACAATAGATACTTAGATATAAATTTGGAAGTATTTAACCGTAAATTACTGACACATGAGAACTGAATCACATAGAGGTGAAGCATCATTGCTGGATTGGAAAACACGCTTTCATATTATCGCAGACATTGCTTGGGGACTTCTTTATCTTCACCAAAATTCCAGATTTAGAGTCATCCACAGGGATCTTAAAGCAAGTAACTTTTCTTGATAAAGAAATGAGAATCCTGAAATCTCCGATTTTGTGATGGCAAGGATTTTAGGAGGTGATCAGATGATGACTAAGATAAGAGCGTTTGGTACTTAGTAAGCTAAAACACAAACACAATTGAGGAAAACATACTTTATTTTCAGTTCGCATATATTATTGAAAAAAGGTATGCAGTGGATACCTGTCACCTGAGTATGTGATGGATGGTATGTTTTCAGTGAAATCTGACGTATACAGTTATGGGGTTTTGGTACTTGAAACTATAATTGGCGAAAAGAATAGGGCCCTATTCCTCTCTCAATCCCACCTCTCTTAGGAAATGCAAGTATCAAAGATCGATTTTATGCAAGTTGTTTGTATACATGATTAAGGTAAGTTACTTCTGCATGTTTTCTTCAGATATGGAAGCTATGCAATGAAGGAAGATACCTTAAATTGGTTGATCAAACAATTGATTCCTTTCTCTTCCAAACCCAAATTTTGAGATGCATAAATATTGGACTTTTATGTGTTCAAGACTGCCCATGCAATCTGTTTGTTTTTATGATTGATAGCTCTGATTTATCACTCCCTCAGCCAGAAAAACCTGGCTTCTCATCCACAAGAGGCTCATCTGAACTAAGTTCTTCCTCACTTGAGAAAGAGTTGTATAGCATTAAGGATTTAACAGTCCGTGTTGTAACAGGCCGATGATGATGTATAGGATCGATATTCGTAGGACTCTGTACAATATTATTTTCTTCAGAGAAATGTATTGGATTAAGATTGTTTATTTATGTACACTTTATAGTCATGGAATAATAGCGTAGCATATCATTTTAAGCTTGTTTTACTTGGGATACAAGGGAATTTCAACTCCCAGGAGAATGCTATCCTTGAAACCTTGCCATTGTAAGAAACTCGTGAATGTGTTCCTTTGCTCTAAACAACCCCAAAACAATAGTATGAACATTAATACTACTATCAAAAGAAATATAAAAAGATTGTAGAACCTTTACCCCACTACTACTTTAATAAAATTCATTAACAGTGGGATGAAAAAAGAAAGTCGGCAGTGTCAAAAAGCACTAAAAGAAGAACATTACCAACAGTATTAGAATGGTGCAATAAAACATTAAACCTTGTCAAATTTTGTCTCATATACAATTCCATACAATAACCTAGACATCATATTCAAAAACAGTTAAGCTTTGAGCTTATTCATTCTCCATGACAACTATCAGACCACCTAAACATGATTGCGTAACCTTCAGGACTGATAATTAAAAATTATTACTTGTGTATCTTTTATATCATTCAAATGGCTTTTCCAGAAAGCCAACGGCTGTAGAAAGCCAATGCCTCTTTCGGCTTGTACTCAGGAACGGTATGGCCTGATCCCTGTATACCATCATACCCAAGTCCATGAAAAAATAAAAGGAAGTATATATGCAGACTGACAATGACTATCTAAATGAAAATATGCAGATGACCACGTCTCAAGTGTGTATATTAAGCAATGTTGAATTAAATGCATCAACCAGTAGAAAACAGTATGTATGAACCAAAATCAAACGTTATGCTATGCATTAAGTAGTTTAAATTTGGACTTGGAGACATTAATGCGTTTGTTTTATTCATCTTTAATGAAATTTCAAAGCTTGTATTAAATTTAGAGCATTTGGAAGAAAAGTGGTAAATTACCACATTGGTATATAAAATAGACCCCATTTACTGATAGCCCATCTAGGAAAAACTCCGGCAATGTAGGGTATTTTATTTCGGTCCCCTTTAACAATAAGATCATTTTTCTCACCGGAGGTGAGAATTCCAAGGAGGAAATTTCTTCCAACCCCGTACCTCTCAAAGCTATTGAAACGGCACACTAAAGTATCAATCTGATGAAAAGGTGAGAGGAGGAAGGGTTTGCCCTCATTGCTCTCTCAACTTCCCTCAATCTCCACGCATCTCTCATCACATCCTCAAAGCCCGTTTTAAGGCCCAACAAGGAGTTGCTCTCTCTTGCCCAAAAACGTCGGGAGAATGATCATCGATGACCTGCTCAGTGATAGCTTGTAGCTTGAAAAATTTCGTTCTGTAATGCAAAAGCTCAAGGCTTTTGATGTCTTTACTGAAACCCAACTCATTATGTTGTCCAAAATCCATAGCTTTCCGAAGATTAAAGACATGGTCAGTTTTTCAGAGGGTTTAATGTTAGAATGTTGCAATAGTTATAGTTGTGATGATGGAAGTGAAGAGAGCAAGAATGAGAGGATTATTGTTTGAATGTCAATAATTTTGGATACAGATTTAATAATTTTGAGGGGTTACGGGGATGGAAGAAATTAACTTGCCTAAATTCTCGCTGGTAGCAAGAAAATGTCTTATTGATAAAGGGGGCCAAAATAAAATATCCTATGGAAGATGGAATTTTTTTACATACCTTATTGGTAAAGAGGGTCTATTTTAAATGCTGATTTCGTAATTTCGTCAAAAGAAAAGGGCTTATATCTTTCATTGTATTGATGTGCTTATACAAAAGGAAGAGTAGTTCTAGTATTCCAAGTGCCGTGGGACTAAAAAAATGAATTAACACCAATAATTAACAACCCCTCGCAAACTATTTTTTAGTATTACTAAAAGTAGTTTCCCAGAAGAAAAAGTGGGTACAATGATATACTAGCGGGTAGGTGTTTGTTATAGTCAAGATTGTAGCATTGTCTGATGAGGGCGTGCACATAGACATCAAGATGGTGACCACCGATAAGGAGTTTTTTTTGGTTAATCTATGAAGAGGATTGTTTGATTGATCCGTGAAGATGATTGTTTGCTTAGTTGATTCCTAAATAGAGCCGTTTGTTTGTTGGATCCACGAGAAGAATCATTTGTTTTTTAGATCCTTGAGAGGATCATTTGTTTAGTAGATCCTTAAAGAAAGATCATTTGTTAGATCCCGCGGAGGATAATTTGTTTGATGAATCTTTGAGCATTATTTGTTCGATAGATTCCTAAAGAGGATGGTTTTCTTGGTGGGTCCTTGTTGAGGATCGTTTGTCCGGTAGTTCCCTGAAAATGATTGTTTTGTTTGGTCGATCCATGAGGAAGATCGACGCATCACATTTGGTGAGTTTGGTTGAGGTTGTTTGTGGCGGAAGACATTTAAGTAGAAGACTAGAAGATGATGACAATTTTGATGAGAAATGTCAACCACAAGATTTCAACCTTTGAAGTCATATTACAAATTGGATTGAGTAGATCTTGTTTATAACAAGCTGGACATGTATATTATACATGCTCCAGATTGAGGGGATGTGTTAATAAGTACATTATGGAGATTTATGATGTTATAGTTATATTAGGAATATATGGTTGAGAGATATTAGAGATATGATTGAGAGAATAAACAAATATGCTAAGAATATGTTTAACATTATAGGCGTCAAAAATTGCCTATGGGTTCCCGTACGCAGCTTGAAACAGAGAGAAGACGATGAACGTCATTATCTGAATCAAAGAGGACTATCCGACGTCGACAAACACATGAACTGAGTCAACGAACCGTACGGAACAACAAAATAGCGGAATAACGAAGATACGATCCGATCGGGAGTTACGCTTCGCTTACAAAAGATGAAGCGCCCATCGTGTCTCGTTCTCCCTATATGTGATCCACCCATGGGAGGTTGTAGAGCTCCTCGTCAGCTTTCCGACGCACCTTGAATCGCGCAATTCAGAGATCGGACGAGGAAAATACAACGGATATGACCGGGGCATGCCTGAACAGTGCCACAGGCCAAGACAGTATGACTGTCTCCCAGGCCTAAAAATGTTGTTTTGAGGTTGTTTCGCCCGTTAACCACCGTGATTCGCTGGGATTTGTTCCAAATGATCTGACGCTATCCTAGAACGTAGAAAAGTGGTCGTAACCGAAGATAAGAGGGAATCGGTCGTTCTTATCCGAAAACAGGGCTTCTGAAGTCTATAAATATGGCCCATAGGGCATTCATTTGCAGGGATTCGGAATTCGAGAGTCTCGGTAAAGCCCTGCTGAATTGGACAGTCAAGAGCCACGAATTTCAGAGAGAAGGAAGAGATCTAGGCAAGTTCATCAGCATAAAGAAGAGGAGTTCGACAGATCTATAGCCCAATTCTTCCCTTGAGATTGCATCGTTGTTGTGATCTCGAGAAGAATGATTATCTCGCTGTTGCCGAGATTATTGCTTCGTTTCTTGTCTCCTTCGTGAGGCAACAAAATCTACATCTAGATCTGATCGTTGGTGGTTCACGGATAAACCTCGGCACAGGCAAAGATCCCGCACAAGCAGAAGACCGATAAACGATCTCTGCATGCGTTCTTAGGAAATCTCTCTGTTTTATTTTCATTGTGTAAGAAAGTCTATACAAAGACTTAATTTTTTTTATTTTGAATCCATATAACGCCTGAAGTTGTAATAGACTCAAAAGTAATGAAACCGATTTCCGACGCGAATACGCTGACAACCATAGTAGGAGCCAACAACCTTGCTACCAAGGCTGTCATGTTGCAGCTGCTGATCAAGATCCCTGTGGATGAAGAGGTCGAGTATGAATTCAACCAACAGAAGTTTGAGGAGTACGTCTCCTCCTCCTCTATATCTTCCTCTCCCTGCAAGCGTAGGAGGACCACTTCCCTGAAAAAGGTTCGTTGGTCTTCAGATCTGAAGACCCAGGGTGATAATTTTCACCCGAATGCTGCTGAAACCTCCTCTCCGGCCTCCAGAAAATCCGGATCTGACATTCGTGATAACTCCTCAAAGGTCAAGGAGTTGCCTGTCGAGGGCGCACTAGTGCTGACGAAGAGGGCTCGCCAGAGGAGCTGCCAACGTTTTGCCCGTCAATTCGTCAAAGCTTTGGAGCAGATGGATGGAATCCACTACCAAACGGATTTAAAGTACAAAAAACGCCAAGTGGCTAAGCCGTCGCCACAACAAGCACTGAGATCCTCCTCCTAACCGCTGACTAACAAATGGGTTCATGACAAACGAACCCGTTCTACTCTCGAGGAGCGCATCCAAAAACGCTGCACAGTTCTTACGCATGCCCGGATCCTTGTGCGAAAAATACAAGAGTTATAAAAAGAAGAGATGGTCAAAGAGCCACCAAGACCTAAGCAGGTTTGGGTGCCGAAGACCAAAACATCGCCTCTATCCGACAAGAGACACCACTCGTGTCTCTCATTCAATTCCAACTCTAGGGCTGCTCCCAAGCCTTCGTCAACTTCAGATCCCGCTCCTCCTGCTCGCGCACCTCCGACAAAGCCCTACGACAGTGTGGATCTCTCCAAATTCAGAATTCTATTGAAGAATCGTCTGGATCCTCTACACGAAGATCGAGGCAAAACTCCTGTTAAAGAACGCTTAGGACCGATGAACAAATCTCGAGCGACTCTTCAGGCTGGGGGTTGTACACGACCTCCCAACAAGACTATTCCTGTAACCGTCCGTTTGGGAGTGCGTACAGAAGGCCAAGAGCCCGTTAGGGTTTCACCCTCACAAATGTGTGATTCCAAACGTGTGACTTCTGCAAACGCCAACAAGACGTTGCTTATTCAGAATAAAATATGTCTGGCAAAAGACGACGTTATACCTGATAAACAGCCAATAGGTTGCTCCGACCACAACGCCGATGAGTTGTACTATCGGGTTGGGGGTAAGTCTCGAAAGAAAAATACCCCAAAAACGGACTCTCACTGTCCTTGTGAGAGGTTAATCATGGTAGTATTATCAGAATGTAGATGCCCCAAGACAGCTCCATAAAGAGTCTCGGTATACCGAAAGCTTTCCGCTGAAACGTCAAAACCCAAATCAAGACGCTCTCGCAAAAGAAGATCGGCCATTCGAGAAGACGAACTCCCAGAAATCACCATCAACATGGCTGACAAAGGAAAATCAGTGTTCGCTTTGAGTGACACTAATCTCGACTTTTCTCCGAGAAGAAAAGTCAATTCAGGAATAGCCCAACGAATGTCTTGGCTCCAGCTAGAAGCCGTCGGAAATGAGGATTACCCGAGGATGCACGAATGACTGTCTTCAGAAGATAAATTTTCAGATACTTGCTCCGCAATCGCCTCCAACAATAAAATGTCTAGCATGGGGCGAGCTCGAGAAGTATTCATGATCACTACCGAACAAGTGACTTAACTTTTTCAAGAAGCCTTGGCCAAACAGAAAGAAGATTTTAAAATCGAAATGGAGAAGGTCGTGCAACGGGTCAAGGATTTACATGTCCAACAACTCCAAGAGTTATCAAACCAGTGCGGTGAATCCAGTCGTCGTTACACTACTAATCAAGTAGACAATGATTCAAAAGTGGAGGAGAATATCAATATAGTTACCCCTCCCGACAACAAAAAATGCTGGGGGTGGTCCCATCGACAATAATAACGCTGGAGGTGGTCCAACTCATTCTCCTCAACATCCTTCGAAGAAAGATATAGACGACGACGAGATGATGAAAGAGCTAGAGAATAAGGTCAATGCCTTAATGTCCGCTTAAGAAGTAAGGAGAACGGGCATTCCGTACTCATATCCAAGAGAGTGGGATTCAATCCTGTACCCGACGAAGTACAACCCGATTAACTTCACGTCATTTGACGAGAAATGTTCACCCACTCAGCACCTAATTTATTTCAGATCCCACCTAAGAGTGATCTCCGGGAATGAACCCCTGATAATTCGGTCATTCGTGGGCACCCTTCGCGGGACGACCTTCGATTGATATCGACATCTCAAGCCAGGGAGCATCAACTACTAGGATGATATGGAAAGCTCGTTCCTCAACAACTTCTTCGACGATGACACCGAAGTGTCGATCGGAGCTCTTCTGGATGAAAAGCAAAAGGACGGAGAGTCAGTTGACACCTTCGTCAAATGCTTCCGGAATAAGGCGATGAATTGCCGAGATCTGATCACAGAGGAGTTCATACTCCAGACCTGCCATCACAATCTCTCCCTCAATGTCCTCGAAGTCATGGGGGTTGCCCCATCAACCACCTGGAAAGAATTAAAACTACGTGGAGAACAGGTCGAGCGCTTCCTCAGAAGAAAGAAGCTCGAGAAAGGCCAGTCGACGGTTAACACACCTGAAGCTACTGTCGATGCAAATCAAATGTCACAACGGCAACCTCAGAAACAACGAAGGACTTCGGATCCGAGACTCCAAAAAGAGTACTCCTTCCAGTATGAGGAAGTTCAAACTATCTTCAAGTACCTTGTCGCCAACGATAAAATCGAGCTACCACCTATTAAAGATCAGGAGGAAGCTAAGAGGATTACGGATCCAAATTACTGTGCGTACCACATGAGGGTTCTTCATCCCACAAATGGTTGTTTTGGTCTTAAAAATAAAATCCAAGCCTTAATTGACTTCGGCATCATAATGGCAAAACAAGCCAAATGAGAGCGGTGTGCACTCCGATAAGTATATGAGTATAAACTGCGTCTTCTTGAACCTCTAATGGGTACATGAGGTTAAACTGAGTCCCGGAACTCCCAGGAGCACACAAGTATAAACTGGTCCTCCCCGCTCTAATGCCTTAAGAGCCTAAACTGTGTAGACTCCAGTCAACGCCGGTCAACACGTTCTGATGAGAGTTAGCCTCAAGTCAACGCCGGTCAATGCGTTGCAATGATAGTCAACGCGTAGCCTCAAGTCAAAGTCAGTCAACGCGTTACAATGAAATTCAACGTCGGTCAACGCGTTATGATGAGAGTTAGCCTCAGGTCAATACCGGTCAACACGTTGTAATGATGCTAACGCGCCTCCGGTCAACTCCGGTCAACGCATGGCAATAACGGTCAACGCGCAGCCTCCGATCAACTCCAAAGTTTAGATATGAATTTCCGATGAAGATAGTTCAAAATCAACTCAACGACACGAGCTAAAACCAACTCATCAGTTTCAATTTGAGACTTCAACAACGGCCAGACGATAAACGCAATGCTAGAAAAATTTCAGCTATTCAACAAGGCACTGAATAGACTGGGAATTAAAGAAGTCATGAACCGAAGTTAACTACAGGTCCTTGTACACCTACTGAAGGTGGGGCCTATCACATCCGAAGTATTTCAGGCTCTTTTATAAAAGAAACGAGACTGAAACACTTTGGAGGGGGTATCTGTAGGCATTAAAAATTACCTATGGGTTCCCGTACGCAGCTCGAAGCAGCAAGAAGACGATGAACGTCATTATCTGAATCAAAGAGGATTATCCGACGTCGACAAGCGCATGAAGTGAGTCAACGAACCGTACGGAACAGCGAAATAGTGGAATAACAAAGATACGATCCGATCGGGAGTTACACTTCGTTTACAAGAGACGAAGCGCCCATTGTGTCTCGTTCTCCCTATATGTGATCCACCCATGGGAGGTTGTAGAGCTCCTCGTCAGCTTTTTGACACACCTTGAATCATGTAATTCCGAGATCGGACGAGTAAAATACAACGGAAATGACCAGGACATGCCTGAACAGTGCCCCAGGCCAAGGCCGAGACAGTCCCACTGTCTAGGCCAAGGCCGAGACAGTATGACAGCCTCCCAGGCCTAAAAATATTGTTTTGAGGTTGTTTTGCCCGTTAACCGTCGTGATTCGCTGGGATATTGTTCCAAATAATCTGAAGCTATTCTAGAACGTAGAAAAGTGGTTGTAACCGAAGATAAGAGGGAATCGGCCGTTCTTATCCGAAAACAGGGTTTCTGAAGCCTATAAATATGACCCTAAGGCCTTCATTTGCAGGGATCTGGAATTCGAGAGCCTCGGTGAAACCTTGCCGAATTGGAGAGTCAAGAGCCAATAATTTCAGAGAGGAGGAAGAGATCTAGACGAGTTCATCAGCATAAAGAGGAGGAGTTCAACAGATCCACAACCCAGTTCTTTCCTTGAGATTGCACCGTTGTTGTGATCTCGAGAAGAATAATTATCTCGCTGTTGCCGAGATAATTACTTTAGTTTCTTGTCTCCTTCATGAGGCAACGAAATCTACATCTAGATCTGATCGTTCGGTGGTCCACAGATTAACCCCGGCATAAGTAAAGATCACGCGCAAGCAGAAGACCGATAAACGATCTCTGCGTGCGTTCTTAGGAAATCTCTCTGTTTTATTTTCATTGTGCAAGAAAGTCTTATAAAAAGACTTAAATTTTCTTTTATTTTGAATCCTTGTTACGCCTGAAGTAGTAATGGACTCAAAAGCAATGAAACCGATTTCCGACGCGAACAAACATATTCCTAATAATATGTACCCTAAGTTTATTTGCTCTTAGTATAATTATAAGAGATCAACGGAGCTCTCTCTAGATAGAGTTTCTGCTTTCCCTCAGAATTAATTTCAACAACAACAAAATGTTTTTAACAACAAAATAGTTTCAATAAAGGAATATGCTAAGAATATGTTTAGCATATTCTTAGCATATTCCTAATAATATGTAACACAAGTTTATTTGCTCTTAGTATAAATTTAAGAGGCCAACAGAGCTCTTGATAGAGTCTCTAGTTTCACTCAGGATTAATTTCAACAGCAACAAAATGTTTTCCACTAGACAAACTAAACATTACACTCTCCCACTATAAAATTTGAGGTCAAGTTTTCTCTGACAAGTGGAGATTTGATGCAGGACGATCGTGGTCTTTTAATCAAAAGATTTTATGATTTACTAGAATGTTTTTATTGGAATAATATTTGATGTAATCTCTATTTTTAAGCAACATTTCCTTAGGATTTGTGATTTTTAGGATCTTCAACATTTTATTTTTTCGGAGAGTTTTATCTTTGTTTCCCTTTTATTAGGATTTGATTCGTTTTCTAGATTTACTTTTTCCTATAAATAAAGTTGTAATCCTCCATGAAGAATATGCATTGATGAATAAAAAAACTAAGTATGAGAAATTTCTGTAAGCATGTGAATTGCTTGTTCTACGGCACGCGTTTAGGGTGTGACCCTAGTTGTGAGGCCTAGAATGTATCATAATCCTCTCTCCTTTCAATTATCTTTCTCGATCACTCCATCCAAAGGAATCCACAATATCCAACTCAAGCCAAAATATCTGAGAAACACTAAACCCCCCAAAATTGGATCATCGTTCATGGGTAAACAGCTGTACCAGCTACTGTTCGCAGGCAAAGAGTACAAACAGTTAGTGTTCATTTGGATTCCCACGTCATTCCGCCAAACTATTGGTGATTTCTCACCTCCGAATTGAAGCCCTCCGCCTGGTCCCCATTAACTATGGCCTGTTACAACTCGCTGGATGTGCTTCCAAGTTTCTTTCTTTCAGAAAAGTGTTTTATAATGTTAATATACTACCCTTAACAGCAAAAGGATAAGAGGTGCTAACAATCCTATCTAGAACACCAACACTGAAGGTGGTAGCAGACCAATTTTAACAGTTGGAATCACTTGTACGTCTATTATAGAACTTCAAGGAGAATATAATGAGAAAGCAACATACCTTTATGGTAAGAAATCTGAAGTCATGCTCATAGCCTTGAGTATACCTGCAACAAATATAGAAGTTCACAAGTAAATAGTAAAAATTTGAGGTTTATGAGTGAAGTATGAGATCCAGAGACCAGAGGAGAATATGAGGAGTGTGGCTAGTAGAGAAAGTGGATTTGGAAGAAGTGACTGCCATATCAGTATATTAAAGAAAGATTCCATGGGGAATGTAGTTAAGGATAAAGATTTATGCAAAATTATTTGCAAAGGTACACTGAAAGGGTGATAAGCAAAAAGGTTAGGTAAAATACCCTGCAACTTGGTCATTAAAATACCATGGCCTCCATAAATCTACAACTTTATATCCCAGTGATCTTGTCCATGCTTCACTTCCAGTAAAAGGCACACACATATCATGGTCACCACTGTCAAAATGCAAGCATGAAATGATGACCATCTGATAGTATACATTCTAAATAAATCTGAATTACATTCTCAATTGATAACTCATTAGCTTTCAAATATACAATCCTGCAAATATGACCACATAAAATTGTCCAAAAACTTCGTTTTATGGAGAAGGAAACCAAAATTAACCTTTAAACACATAAAATTATCTCTACAAACACCGATATATCTAACTATAGAGAAGATTATATTGCTGTAAATGAGAATAGATTGCGCTATGTATATGTGATGGGTGATTGGGTTCAGTAGCAAGGGACATGTCTTCTCCGCAGGACTCTGACATGATATTCTAAATGTGATCAGCATTTTTAAAATGAATGCTTTGCATAACATAATAAATATTGCATTACATCTAGAGGAATGAATTACAGGACATACCTGAAAATAACTGCACGGTATCCTAGGGAAGTTAGGTTCTTGTGATACTTGATCATGCTTCCAGCGTCATGATTAAAATTTATATTATCAGTACATAATATCCATTCACCAATTGCATTTTCCTATTCATCAGATGATAGGTACCAATCAATTTTTGTCAGCTAAAGTAAAGCACAAATAAAGAAAGTCATATACATATCTAGTTTACCGGCTGTGCATGAATTGCAGTTCTCACATCTTTATTGTTCAACCATACAGTAGCAACTTGGTCATCCTGCAATCACATAACCAGGTTACTGTGACTTTGATGAGGAAGGAATTTATGCTAGCTGTCATTTTAAGAAGACAAAAGAACAGAAGAAGATTATAAAACTAGAAAAAAAAATGTTTCTTGTGCTTACTGTGCATGGAACTGAAGTGCTTCCAAGCTCTGGCCATGTGGGAACACGTCCAGCTCTGACTGGAGCTCTCAAAGGCCATGACCGGCCAAACATTCTTTTCCTCACATGAAGTGGCCTCTCAGTCTCTCCGAGCCTTCTAAAACTGGCAGGTAGCCTGCTCTTATCAGCTAATGGGTATCTTATTTCGGGAGCATGGTAGCATGGCTCAATAATATCATAGATATTTATGTTTTTAAGTTCCTGGAAATGGTAATTTTTCAAAAAATTAATTAGATGAAACTTCAAGGCTGTAGATATCAGTACATAAACAGCTGGATTTACCCAGTCAACTTTGTTCAACTTCTCTTCACAGCTTTCATTTACGGGATTCCAATAACTTCCTTGACAAGCAGTATTAACTTCCTGCAATTAGCAACATGTAAGGACTCGCAGCGTAAAGAAGGTACAGGACAGTACACACACAGCTTGTAATCCTATCTCAGCAGAAAGGAAAGTCACAAACCTGAAACAGATCATTTGATATGAGACCCATTCCATGTGCAAATGGCACAAGGGCATCCCCATCGAATTGCTCGTCAGTAACCCCATTTCCCACCATATAGCCCTGCATCAAATATAAGCAAAGTTCTAACCAAGAAGACCCCTATTCATTTTCTCCTTATAGGTTCAAAATTCAAAAGGTCTGGTGTGTTTTCATAATGTTTTTTTAATATTTCACCTTGAAGTTCAGTGTAGGCTTTACACCAGCGATTATTCCTGTAATGAGATCCAACAATGTAACGGTTAAGAAAATGGTAACCGAATTATATTGGAAGGGTACTTAACGAGTGCATACCGTTTGCCACTTCAGCTGCAAGAGTCGGTACATACACCCCGGCATACGACTCGCCAGCAATATAGAAAGGATTCCCAAGAAACTCGGGGTACAATTGAAACCACTGATATCCAACAAGGATGCAGAATTGAATAAAGACTTTTTTTGAACCTAAGGAGTGCGCTGCATCAAACTAATTCTTGTTCATCTCACCTTCAGAAGAAATTTGTGTGTATCGGAAGCTGTCTTAAGATCTCCCGTAGCGTAATCGGATGTATCGTTCGAGTAAGAAAGCCCAACACCAGCAGGAGAATCCAAATATATAATATTTGAAACCTAGGAAATGCAATTCGCAATCCACCTCTCAGTTAGCCACAGATTTATTAAAAGGAGGGAAAAGAAAAGAAAAGAAAAGTTAACAACAACAACAACAACAACAACAAACAACAAGAAGAAGATTTCCCCTTTACCTTAGACCAACTGTAAGGATTGAGATGCAGCTTTGGCATTGAGCCCGGCGTTTCTCCGGCCTCGAAATTGAATGGACCTGAACATACGAACAAAGATATGAACCCCCACTAACCAACAAATATATGTTTCTCATACTTTTCATTTCATTCGTTGAGTTGGATCAAGATTTCAAGAAAGAAAGAAAGCCACCATGCTCATAAATGAATCCATCGAAGCTAGAGCAGCCGGGGCCACCATTGAGCCAAAGAACAACAGGATCCTTTGATGCGTTCCCTTCAGATACCACAAAGTAGTAGAACAGATTCCTCCCATGACTCTCATGAACGCTCACATATCTTTAAAGGCGGGCAAAAAAAAAAAAACCAATTAAAAAAATAAATAAAAATCAGGACGCAGATGATTGAATTATGTAAAAATAAAGAGATGGGTCGACAGATGGAGAGGCACCCAGCGTAGTGCTTTGAAGGGAAAGACCCATTGAAGCCGGGGAGGCTGGTGACGAGAGCGCTCTCCGGGGCCGCAGAGATAAGTGAAGCAGAGCTCAAGAGGAACAGAAGCAGAAGAGAGAAGAAAGCGGAGGACGAGGAAGAGGCCATTTAGAATGAAACTGGGCTCGAGCGTAGTGGTATCTTATAAAATGAGTCTAGCATAAAAAAGAAAAAAAAAAAAAAAAAAAAAAGGACAAAAAAAAAAAAAAAAAAAAAAAAAAATAAAGGAAGATGGGTGAAGAGTGAAGGGAAAGGGAAGAAAAAATGAAATGATGGCGGCCCACTGACAGACAGCAAAACTTTGAAGTTTGCACCGGGGATAAGGGCATTTCCAACCATACCTTTCAAATTTGGCGGCTAAATACCCATATTGGTATTTTAATTCAACCCCATTTGTCAAGAAGGTATTTTAAATAAAAAAATCGGCGTTAAGGCATTTTAATTGATTAAAATTACCAATTAGGTCATTTTTCTCGTCGGCGACCATTTCCGGCGAGAACTCGTCACGTGCATTTTAATTCAACCGGTTTTCTGACGTGGCAGTGGCAGGAAGAATAAGAGTCGATGCATTTTAAAATCCCCCATTTCTAAAATTGGTAAAAAAATTAGCGAAAAATTAGTGGTGAAATTACCGTATAAATAGAACCTCTTTCTCTTGCATCGATCCATGGCCGCGTCGGCGGCAATCTAGTCTGCAGTGATCTCCGTCTTCTCACTCTCTTCTCACCGAATTCCCATGGCGTTTTCTTCTAGAAGTTCCTGGAATCGGGGGTTTTGGCTGCTTCTGTTAGCGGTAAAGGTAAGATAATTGAGTTGGATCTGAGATCTGGAGTGAATGCGTGGAAGTTTGATCTTTGTTTTGAAATTTTTAGGGTTCAGGTTGGTTCGTTTTGGACTTAAATTGTGATTAAGCCACATCAGCAGCTAAAACCGAGCCACATCAGCAAACCGAGCCACATCATCAGCTAAAACACAGATTAAGTCATCACGTGTCACGCACGTGACAAGTTCTCGCCGGAAAAGTGGTCGCCGACGAGAAAAAGGACCTAATTGATAATTTTAATCAATTAAAATGCCTTAACGCCGATTTTTTTATTTAAAATACCTTCTTGGCAAATGGGGTTGAATTAAAATACCAATATGGGTATTTAGCCCAAATTTGGCACTTCAAATTAGAATATTCTAGGAATATTCTAATTTGAAGGGTGAAATTTGGAGGGTTGCTCTAAGAGCATCTCCAACCATACCCTCCAAATTTGGCCCTCAAAATTGGAATATTCTAAGAATATTCTAATTTGGAGGGTAAAATTTGGAGGGTTGCTCCAACCCACACTCTCTAAATGTTTTTCTTTTTATTTTTTTTGTAAAAAAAGCCATATAAATTAAAGAATGTTGGATATAGTTTACGTTAATAATTTCATTGTTTATAATTTATTTGGGAAAAAAAATTATAACATTATAAAGGTGTCGATGAGAGCTTTAAAATGAACTCAATATTAATACTGCAATACAACATATCATAAAAGAAGAAATTCTGAAATAACAGTGAAAGCATACATCGATAGAATAAGAAAGCAAATATTAACCTCTAATACAACATACCATAAGTCGCAAACATAAACCTCAAACATAAAATATGATAAGAGACAATTAAAATTCTGGCAGGTCATTATCGTTATAACTACTGGTTCCATCCCGATCTCTCGAAGAACCACCATATTCATTTCTTCCTACAGAACCAGCTTCTTCCGCAAATTGAGAAAATCCTCATTGATTTCCAGTGGGAAATTCATATTCGTTTTGTCCTCCTACAGCTCCTCTAAGAAGATCAGAAAATCCTCTTGGCCCTCTGGAGGAAAATCCATAGTCGAATGATGGAGCTCTATATTCCTTTCTATTCATAATTTCCTTTTTTTTTGTTGATAGTAAGCACGTTCACTTTGATCAATGATCTTACTGAGATCAGTCAACATAATTTGCCATTATCAAGGGACCATCACGTTTTTGGGACAAGCGGAGACTACACGACATAATGACTGCTTGTATTATACTACATAACATGACTGTGGAGGATGAACGCGATGCAGAACCATAGATTATTGTTCATGATGAAATTTCAAAACCTGAAGAGATAGATATTGATGATGCCGAACGATTCCAACGATTCCTTGATCGACATAGGAAGATTCAAGATAGGGAAGCTCATTTTATGCTTCGAAACGCACTAATTGAACATTTATGGCAGAAGCACGGCAACGAATGAATGTAATTAAAATATTATAATTTATGCTTGTATTTTCTTATGGAGCAAGTTAAATAGATCCCCGTATTTAAAATTTCATGTCTGATACTTATTTATTTAATTTAAAAATTAATAATTTTATAATAATACTAAAATAAATTAATCTTAGTTTCATTTTAAAGATCTCAACGAGCCCTTTCCAAATATATAATGATTTCAAATATTAGATTAATAATTTTTTAACTATATTTATTTGAAATTAAACATCTAATTTAAATTACTAAGAAGGATGGCAAAGTGGTAAATTTTAAGAAATCAAATAGTTAAAAATGGCAAAATTGTAAATAAAAAAAATCATGAATAGGGTTATGGAGAGACCCTCCAAAATTTCTCCTCACCCTCTAAATTTGGAGGGTCAAATTTGGAGATCTCCAAATTTGGAGAGTGGTTGGAGAGGTTCCACTCTCCAAATTTGGAGATTTTGGAGTTTTGGAGGGTGGTTGGAGATGGTCTAACCCACACTCTCTAAATGTTTTTCTTTTTATTTTTTTTTTCAAAAAAGTCATATAAATTAAATAATGTTGGATATAGTTTACGTTAATAATTTTATTGTTAATAATTTATTTAGGAAAAAAATTATAACACTATAAAGGTGTCGATGAGAGCTTTAAAATGAACCCAATATTAATACTGCAATAGAACTTATTAAAAAAGTAGAAATTCTGAAATAACAGTGAAAGCATACATCGATAGAACAAGAAAGCAAATATTAACATCTAATACAACATATCATAGGTCGCAAACACAAACCTCAAACATAAAATATGATAAGAGACAATTAAAATTCTGGCAAGTCATTATCGTTATAACTACCGGTTCCATCCCGATCTCTCGAAGAACCATCGTATTCATTTCTTCCTATAGAACCAGCTTCTCCTGTAAATTGAGAAAATCCTCCTTGATTTCTAGTGGGAAATGTTGGCCTTCTTGTTTTGATGATGTTTAACAAACAATTTACAACCAATGCTGTTTGTCTAGTGCTTGTGTTATCTATTCATTGTAGACAAACAACTACTTGGAGGTTGGATGGATTGCGCCATAACGATCATATCAAATGGAGGCTGGCGGAATGTCGGGTTGAAGCCTTGCAATTCAAAGTTAAAGATCAAGTTCAAGCTTCATCTGCATGTATACCAAGTTAAGCTACAATGAAGATCAAGATCAAACTTGGGTAAATTTAGTATAGGTTTATATTATGTGTGTTTAATACTCTAAGCTCAATATCATATACACACACAATATTGGATTTTCTCACAAAATGAGTTATTTTGAGAAAACTTTATGATATTGTTTTATTGACCATGTTTACTTTATATTCATGTGTTATAATGTTTATGAAGACATTTCATAAAGTTTCAATATGCGTTTAAACTCTTTTTGTCAAAAACATGTTCTTAACAAATTCATATTCATGCATGTTTTTACAAAATAATGAGTTTTCACAATTGAGAAATGAAAATTGAAAATTTATTTTTGTAACATGTTTGTTTTCATGTTAATAAACATTTTGCAAAGTTTCATCAAGTTTGGAATTGATTTGTTATGTTTAATGGAATTTACAAAATCATGTTTTTCATTCGTGCATGTTCGTGCATGTTTTACAAAACAGATGAGTTTTCATAAATGGGAAGTGATATTCAAGAAATTCTTTCTTTGACATGTTTATCTATATATTTAGAAACGTTCCTCAAAATTTTACTATTTTTGGAGTTGATTTACTGTGCCCAATTGATTTTACAAAATCGTGTATGTCTGCAGTTTTTTAGAAACTATAAATCTGTGTTCAAACATTTATTTCTCTCAACAGGGAAATTCTTTTTCAGAAATTCTTTCTCTAACATGTCACTCTACATGTCTAGAACCATCCCAAAAAATTTCATATTTTTTGGAGCTATTTTACTATTTTTAATTGATTTTACAAAACTGAAACGCAGTGCTACAGTACCCGCGGTCGACCGGTACGGTCGACCGCCAAACTCTCTGGACGTGGTTACTGTAGCATAACGGCTATATTTTCCAGATTTTGATATATTCGTTTTTTTTTGTATTTTTGCTTGATTTTCTTGGGTTTTTGGGCCTGTTTCATGAGCCTATATATACTCCATGCCCTCATACTTCTAAGGGTACTCAAGAAATATTTTAAACAAGTTTAAAGAGTTTTAAACAAGGGTTTAAGTGTGTTTTAGTGTTTGTTTGGTTTGAAGATTGTTTTCACAAGTGGAGGAGATCATCTTCTTGTTTGGGCTCCAATCTCCATCTCTCCATCTTGTCATCTATTGGAGAAGTTTTCTAAACTCTATTTAGCTTTACATTTGCTTAGTTATTTAATTATCATTCTTTAAAGCTAGTTTTTATATTGAGTTTAGATTTGATTATATTATCTCATTGTTACACACACCCACTTGAGCTTATTGTATTTGCATACATAGTATATTAGGGTTGTGAGAGATTGTAACATTGAGTTGTGCTTCATTGTGTTCTCATCTATTGTAGAGAACAAATTTATATTTGTTACATTGTGAGTGTTGTTAGGTTTTCGGTGAGCTAGAAACCGAGTGTGTTGTGAAGTTTTCGGTGAACTAGAAACCGAGTGTGAGGAGTGAACGTTGTTCGGTGAGCGTTAAAAACCGACACTGTGAGGTGTAAACGTTATTCGGGTGAGCGTAGAAAACCCGGTTGTGATAGTGGATTTCTCCCCGGGAGTGGGGAGCGGAGACGTAGGACGGAAGGTCCGAACTCCGTGATCATATCTTGTGTTTGATTGTGCTTTGGCGTTTATTTATACTTGTGTTTATATTTCTTATCGCCATTGTCATTAGCTCTTTATTCATATGATGCACTATCTATTTCATATTATTTACCCTTGTGTT